TAATTCAGCTTCCCACAATACCAGAACAACAGAAAACCCAACAGTGTAAAATGCAAATCACAAAAAAGTTCTCTCACAATAATCAGAAGTGTGACATCTTTATCACAGGATCATTGAGAAAGTATAAAGGAGTTCAAATCTAGACTTGATACAGTTGTAAAAGACTGGTTCACCAGAAATTTCCAAAGAAATCCCTAAATTACTGACCGAGTTTAGGAAAATAAACCATGGAAAAGGGCACTCAGATGATGCTTTGTGATCCTCTCTGAAAGCTCTGCTATACTGGCCATCACAGGTACTACAAGTTTAAATGGACTTTAGATAGAAACCAGCATTAAAGTTCCTCTGTTTTCAGTCTAAAGGCTTTAAATATTACTAGAACTGGAATTAACAGGATTGTCCTGAAAAATCAAAAACTATTAAAGCTATTGACTTTGGAGAAGCAGATGAAACTCAGGTAATGAAATAGATTTAAATGACTGTGAAAAAATCTACACAGTCTGGCAGAAGTAGTTTAACACAAGTTGGCATTTCCTTAGGAAACTGGGAGAGTACCTGCTCCTCATGTGACCAGGTTCAAGTAGATCATTATATCTGATACAATAAGAAAATAAACTGAACTGTGTGCAGACCATAATGACCACTAGAAAAGCTTGTAATATTGTTAATTCCTTTTTCTATCAACACAGGAAGCAGATAAATTTGTTACTAGAGAACTACAGGTCTTTATCCTGCTAACCACCTTTAGTTTGAATGCCTCCTGTGTTCACAGCTGGATCTTTTTAAGCAGAACCTGAATTCTGCATATCTGCTGTAGAAATTCTTCAAAAGCCCGTGAAAACAATTTTCAGAAAGCCATCTCCTTCCTCTCCAAAACAATTGAATCTACAGCAGCTGTGAATAGTGAAGAATGCCTCCTGTCACCTTTGTATCACAGCTTCTGGCAGCGTCAGTGACAAAACCTGGCACACAATCTTCTCTCAGATTAATACCATCCATGGAGAAAAGGCAAAAGTTCTTTAAATGCAGCATCCCAGTATTCCCCAGATATCCTGGGGATAATCTATATGAGGCATCCCAAGCAGTAGCAAGGCCATGCCCTAAAGAAATGTGGATTAAAGTATGCTTTGTGCATGGAACATTCTAAATGCATTCCTAGCTCAAGGTTAAATACTGTTTCTTTCTAAATATCACCCACAAATAAAGATCACATTATGATATCTGTATCTTCTAGTTAAAAAAAAAATATTTTCCACAGAGATCCCCAGAAGCTGAGTACAGCTAATCAAATTAACCTTGAATGACTTTCCAGCAGTGCCCAGCACAACTCACTAAACAGAGGAGGCAGGAGCAGCCCGGGGGAACAGCCTGGCTGCTTTTTCCTGACTTCCAAACCCACCAACAGTTTGTTTGGCTTGTTAGAAGAAAAAGCTGTCTGTACAGGCAGGCCTGAAGAATGCTGGGTTCAGGTCTGCCACTTTTATGTTTCAAGCTAAACCTGTATGGCCTGTACCACTGTGTCCCCAGGTTTTGTGTCAGGGAGTACAAAAGGCTGGGAAACACAGGGATTTGAAGTGCAATCTCAATTTGCCCAGCAGTGGGAATGGCAGGAAATGAGAGAAAACCATGTGGTTATTTCACTGCTCTTCCCAAGCAGCTCTGCAGAGTCAATTTCTGCAAAGTCAATTTCTGCAGCGAGCTGAATGAAAACACTTCCTTCTGCAGGAGCTTGTGTAAACAGAGGTACTGTAACCAACCTCACCTCAACACAAGGGAGAATCTCTGGCAGCTTCTCATTTTATTCAAGTAATAAGAAATCTTTCACATTCTCCACTCAGGAATCACTTCAGTCAAGCTGATTACCAAAGTAATTCTCTTAATTTGCAAGTTTAGTGCAGAGCAGAGCCTACAGAAAACAGCTCAAAAACCTGCAAACAAGATTTTTTTTTCCAGTTATGCAGAGACGTCTGCCTTGATTCCCAGAGATAATTTGTGGATGCACAGTATTGTTACCCTATAAATAACACATATATTTCCATTCAGGAGTCTGTTCCTCACACTGAAACAATGTCACTAATAAATCTCACCATTTGTCGGGCTAGAGCTGACATCCCCCCTTATTCAGAATATACCTTTACTGCCATACATATGTGTAAGACATAATGTTATCCAAGTACTTTTTAAAGGTGAAAAAACTGCTGTTCAAGAAGCAAGAGTGACTTCACCAAACAAAATGTAATATGTAAAATATAAGGATAGGAGGAAGAGGGAAGAAAATAACACACAAACAAACCCAAAACCAACGTCTTCCAACACAGCTACCTCCACAAATCCTTATTCCTCCCTGTTCCTAACCAATCTCAAGTAATGCTGCTTGTTCAACATGAATAAAATGAAATAAATTTCTCTCCATATGGTCTCTTTAAATTGAGATCTAAAAATAGACAGACAGCCATCAATAGACAGACAGGCTTAAACAATTTTATCAGTGCCTGATTTATTTCAGCTTTCTGCTCTCTCTGGTCACAATTCAGTGCAACCCATAAATAAGTCAGGCTGGTAAAGGAGATTGAATTTTTGAGGCCAGAACCGTAATTGAGGAATTGAACAGCCTGGAGGTTGAAATATCCCCTGGGATATAAGCCTCTGGACCTATTAGCAGCTGTCTATTGCTTTTCCAGCCATGGACACCTATGACCACGTCAACACAAGAACTGATTTAAGGTTCTTTGTGGCACACACAGACATGTGCTGGGCTCCACCGTGCTGTTACTCTGGAGCAAGAATATCTCAGGAAAACCTCTAACTAAAAAACCTCAGAACTATGGGAAAGCCCAATTTCCTATGAAGAAAGTCTTCATCGGCTCAGCACAATTTGATTTTACTGTATTTTACTTTTTTTCTCCACTGTATTAGCACTTGGAAAGACTGAAAGTGAAGCCTGAAAGAAAGAATTTGCTTTTTTTGCTTAAAAGCCAAACAGACAAGCAAAGCCAAAGCCCCATCATCACCCGCCATTCTTTTGGTCACTCCCTCAGGATCAAACTTTGCGCAGAAAACCTCCACAGACATCCAAAGCGAGAAGGACGGATTGCAAACCCAAACCCTCACCAAAGGCAAAGAAAAAGTGGCAAAAAACCCAAAAATATCTCCAGGCCTTACTCTGCATGAAGATGTGCAAAAGGCCAGGTTTGCAGGGAGTGAGACAGCGGGGCTGTTGAGGGGCAGCCGTGAGGGCTTTCGGCTCAGCCGCACCTCGCCCGCCTACAGGGGCCGGCCTGGGCCGCCCCATGGCGGCTCCTCCGCCGTCTGTGGGGCCACGGCCGAACCACAGCTCAAAGGGCAGGAATGGCACCGCACAACTCAAAGGGCAGGAATGGCACCCCTCAGAACCCACGCTCGGAGCGGGCCGCGGCACTGACGGCTCCCCACACAGCTGCCCGAGCAGCCGAGCTGGGACAGGGACAGTCGCACACCGAGACCACAGGGGGACTTGGTGAGGGACGTGAGGGGCACTCTGGGGACTCGGGGCAAGGCTGGAACCCCTGCTCAGGCCCTGGCACAAGGAACTGAGGGAGCAGCCCAAACGTGTTAGCACGAGGCTGACCGCCCCCTCAAAGACAAACCAGCGTTTAACTCAAAATCACTAAGAAATTGTGGAAAAGAGGAAATAGGAGAAAAACACGCTTACTAAATCATTATTAGAATACACATTTCCAACTTGTGTAGTCTGAAAAAAGAAAGAAAACAACTATACATCTGGTTTTGTTTTGTAAGAAAAGATGACAGCAACTGAAACTAAAGCATTGTTAAAAATTGGTTTTGACTATCACATTTGTTCTGATCGAGCCTATCAGCTTGTTTTGAAGAAAGGCTCCTGACTGCATAAGGTACAAACACAGAACAGCAATCGTTTGTTAGACCTGCTAAATGCCAAGAAGACAGACAGTATAATGGAACTTAGCACTACCAGTTATTCATAAATAATTCTTCTGATTAAATATTCATACACCATCATCATCATTTGTCTTGTAAGTCTGTTCTCATAGGCGCCCTGTGCTCTGCTCCTACTGGATCTCTGCACAGACAGAACCAGTGATTTGGATGTATGACACTAAACCAGGATCTCTTCTGAATAACAATGTGCTGCTCATAAAATGCCCTTTCTCTCTCTCCAGCCTGCTCAGGGGGAGCATGGCAGCTCCTGCCTCCCCAGGGACTGGGCACAGCTCAGCCCCACACACAGCAGGCAGATAAGGGCTCTCTGTTTGCCTATCCCCAAGCTCCCCTGGCAAGCCACTGTCTGATCCAGAGCTGCTCAAGTGGAAAGGGGAATGCATTTCCTTCCTCCTGCTTGGCAGGATTTATCCATGACCACCAGGATACTGCTCAGTTGGACATTTTCTCTTTAAGTCATGTAGACAAAATGCAAAATCTAAAGAAATTTTTATCTTAAGCAAGCAAAGAAAGTAGATTTTCATCAAAATGTCTTAAATAATAACAATTTCTCTTAGAAATGTGGTTGGACAGCGAGCTTCCTAAAAGAAAACCACCGTTCCTCTGCAGCTCAGCAGCTCCCCATGAAGGTCTCTGCATGCAGTGGGTTGTGCAGAGATGTGCAGAATGATCACCAGCCCCATGTTGTTCAGCTGCAGCTCTTCCCCCCTCACCTTGTGCTCCAGCTGACAGACAAGAGAACAGGATACCACAGCAATTAAATTAAAAAAAAAAAAAAATCACAAGGGCACCCTATCACCAGGTGCTGCAAGCAGGTAAAGTCAGGTAAAAACAGTCTCTAGTGTGACTTATTGAGCATTTCCATCTGCCTGATTAGACACTAGATTTGAATTTTGGTGGGTGAGGATGACAACTCCAGACTAGGTGATATCACCATTACTATTTTTCAAACCTAAGTCCTGCATCAGCATTGGCTTTGCCAGGTGTCAACTGCAATGGAATCCTGGGGTGGCTGACGTAGAAAGGAGATAAAACAAACACTATATTCTTCAAACTGAAAATTTTACCCCAAGACAAGAATGAAAATAATTCTGGACCACACTGGACTGATGAAAATTAATATATCCTCCCCCACATTGTAATCATTAAAACAGACTTTTATCTGCTTTTACAACTATGGAAGAACAACAGACAAAGTTCAAAAAGCTCAGGGCTAGCATCTTTTATTATTTAATTATTTGCATGAACTTGGAAATGTTACCCAGAAAAAGTGTAACTTTCCAAGGAGCACATGGTATCTCAAACCATAAAGCCTCATTCTCCATCCTGCTGACAAGGTTTTCTCAAATTGCAGAATTTTAAGTACTGCCCAAACTAGTATCATCCTGTTATTTTTCATTTAAAAAATAATTCAAATTGTAAATGACCAGTATTCACTGAAATGTACTTTTCTTCAACTGTAAGCACATTTCAGAATGATGTCAGGTGAGGCAGTAAGGAACTGTTAAGGTTCCTGAAGAGAATATAAATAGCAAATAAAAGCTCTTTAAGAGTCTTCTTCCATAGGCACATCCTCTTGTAGCTTCTGCACCATTTTGTCCTCCAGCTGTTTTGGTGTACCTTCAAAAAGAACAAATCAAATTCAACATGTTTCTCTAAACCCAAATAACTGTTTTTCTTTGAACAGTATACACGTCTATTCCAGGTGAAACAGCCTAAATATATTGCTTGAAGAGATGTTTATGAGCAAATCCATCAAGCTCAAAGGTATTTACTGCTAACCTCCACCATCTCTTAAACTTGTTTCAGCAGAAAAGCTGATGCTGTTGTTGTGCAAAATCTAAAATGCAGTCAAACCTGTGTTTTCATCTGCTATGACAAACTGATACAGCTGCCAATACCTGGCAGAACCTTGCAAAGGACTACAAAAATTCATTACTTATTACAGATCAATGGCCTTCTGCCACTAGTTTTTAAATAAACACTTAAAGCCCTCCTGAATGCTGTGTTGTTCAGCAAGAATGCTAACTCTCAATAAGATGACCAAAAAAAACCAAGGAAAAAGAAAAACCCAAGACTTAAATTTGACTCTGCGCCCTGCCCAGTCAGAATTGCAGAATACCAAGACGGCAGCTGGTGTTGGACCAACAGATGGACCACACAGTGCTGTGCATCACTAATTTAGTAAAAGCAAAGACAAACACAGAGATAATCACTTTAATTTATAATTTTGAATTCAGATCTTTTTCCTTTCCTCAAAAAAAAAAAAAAAGGCAGGGGTACATGACATGACACATTAAATCTTAAACCTAAGTGTGAATATATCCTGACAAAAATCCAAAAATCTAAGAAAAACCATAGAACAGACTTTTAATTAATATCTCATAATGAAGAAATAAAATCACTGGTAATCCTTATAAAACAAGAGCTAATGGAAATAGCTTTAAGTTGTCTTCATTACTGTACTTCATTAAGTGTATTTTTAAAGTAAATAATTTATTTTAAATGTGACTTCACTGAAGGAACAGTATTTTCATGTAAGTTCTACACAACTGACTGACAAATTCAAGCGGCAAAGTTGAACTACTGTGTTTTACATCATTCAGTGGTAGAGTCTGATGAGTTCAACTAACCAGGTCAAAGGGAACACTTAAATAAATGCATTGGATAACAAAGATGCAGTTCATGCAGCACCAGATATTGAGTGCAATTTAAAACACTCAAAATAATGAAGAGAAAGGACTAGATGGGATGAATGCAGGACTAGACAAAAAAAAAGGTAAATTTGATTTAGAACTAAGATATTACTTACATTTACTGGCAAGAACTATTACTCATATTCAACAGACAAATTAATTGTAAGACAAATATACAGGATTATTGATCTGTAGAATGAGTCACTCATCCTAGAACTGTGTAGGCAAACCAGTAACTCAAGTTCTTACCTGCATGGGGAGCACGAAGAAGGTGGATATTCTGTTTGACTTCTTTGATGTCTTCTGCCTTCTGCAACTCTTTGCTCTTCTTTAATCTGGGAAAGGGGAAAATTAGATTTAATCACCTTCAAAGAGGAGATGCAGGCCTTCATATTAATGCATGATATCTCTCACTAAAGGTATATACAGGCTGTAAATAACTATAACTAAATAACTATGAGGAAATAAAGGTAAAAAGTATTTGAAAACCACTTCAAGAAAATACTGGATACAAAGCCACAAAAAATGCAGCACTGTACCAACTCCTATCAGAATTCTGTTAACATTTAAGACTCTGCATACAAACAAGTACTACATTACAGCTGTTATCCTTGAGTGTCCAAAAGCTGCATTTCTTGGACAGCCAATAACAGAGAGTAGAGCACACCCTGTGTATTTTACCCCATCACTTGGATGACTGTGTACATACGAAGCAGATTACTCTTTAAAACTGGATCATCCCATTTCTGGAAAGGTTGTCTAACACACACAGGGCAAGGGGCTCCCATCACACAGATAATTCTCACCTGTTCATAATAAATCTGGCTTGGCGTTTTTGCTTTATTTCCTCCACTCTCTTCATTGCATCCACTGAAATAAAGCAGAAGTTGTTTTAAATGTGCTTAAATCCCTGCAGCAGAAAATCCATGCTATTTTTGTAAAGCAGCTCCCATAATACCTAAATACCAGAGGTAATTCTTACACTATGTAGAGGAAACTATTCCTTCTCCCAGGAGCAGGATAAGGGAATATTCTGTGTAGCAACTCTGGTAACTTGTAGTCTACAACTTATTTATGCTTCCACTTTTGTGCCTACACATAATGCCTATAGTTAACCATCACTGCAAAAGACTCAGCTTGAAAAAAGATGCCAGTTACCACCTTCTCCTTTGTGGCATTCATTCACATGAATATAAGCAGTTCTTCTATTTTATGACAATTGATTCTATGAAGCAAACTGAAGTGGCATAAGCACAAACACAGAAACAACTGCATCATGTAAAAGGATTACATTGGGAGCCTCTCAAAAAGCTGGAAAATCACTTAGGGGTTTTGAAGACAAAATAAAAGACTTCTGGTCCTCATTTTCAAACCAGTTTCCAGAAAAAAAACATCAAGTGAAACTCCACACATGTTTACAACTCAAACCTCCTCCACACATTCAGAATTTGGTCATGATCTCAGTAATTTCAAGCACAATCACTACAAGCTGTCAATACTCTAAAGTCTTTTGAAAGCACAATCATAAGTAAAAAATGAATTTTTTTGTTTTTTCCTATAATGACTCACCAGTCTTGTTCCACAACTCTCTCTGGTATTTCACTGGTTCGTTCCTACGTTTTTCAAATTCAAATGAATTATCCTGTATCAAGAAAAAGTAAATACAGACTTATGCAGAAGCTTTTTTAGATCAATACATTCATACTGTAGCAGTCACTCACAGAACTGAATTTGGGATTCTTTTCCCCCTTTCAGAAGCTCAGTTCCTAGACTTGAACAATCATTAGGGAGAAATATCAGAAGGAAATTGAGTCAAATGTTTGACCTCAAAGTGTCAGGAGCCAGAGTGATTTGTCTGAAGAGAACTATTTACCACAACATCACCCTCAGCTATTTTCTATTTAGCAAGACTAAAGGAACAGAGAAAACCCATGTGGAATAGGAAATACAGAGCAGATTAGACAGGTGGAAAGCGAAATTGAAAACCGGTAGATTTGAAAGCATTTATTGCAGGACAAATAAGCTCTAGTCAACAGCTTGTAATTTTCAAATGGTTTTTAAAAAATACCCCAACCACCATTTCATTTTAAGAATACTGAAACAGTCTAATTTGAAATTGTGAAATATTTCAGTCGATACCTCTGGCACTTGGGACAGCTGCCATCCCCCTCATTCCCATGAGCTAAAGATTAAAAACAGTTTCCTGATCTTTTTTTTGCCAGGCACACTTAGCTTTATATCAGTTTTATCTGAGGACTTCTCCCTGCCCAAAGGTTGTTTTTTGTCGTGGTAAAGCTGAGTTACACAGCACTAAGTTAATATATTGGCTTTATTCTTAAAAAACATTATGTATCTCAAAATTGGAACATATTGTCACCTATTTAGACACGAATAAAGTAATTTTTAATTCAGTTATTTTCAAAAATGTAATTCAACATAGACAGAAACAATTCAAAAGCAAGAAACACAATTACTGAAGATGTTAATTAACCATGGCTTTTCAGAGTCACATTAAAAAATAAAACCACATTATTTCCCTTGAAAGATCCACAAAAGGCAGGAAATCACTGTATCAAAATGCTTACTAAATTTTTATTATTCTGTAAAAAAATAGGTAATTAAGTCACAATAATTCTTGAATTATTTAAGGACTGTCCCACCAAATATGAATGTTTAACACTTTTACTACTGAAGCAACTTTGTTTTGAAATTGCATTTGAGGTCTCAAGCTGTTTTTCAAACATTTCTTTCTATGCAAAGACTTTTTCTACACATTGTAAGCTTAAAAGAGGCTTCACAGGTAACTATTTTAAGGGTCTGCATAGAGACTTCCTCAGGTACCTGGTAACTCAGATTATTTGTGCAGAAACACAACTACCAATTGTATACATACAGACTAGAGGATTTATTGGTGGGAAAAAATGCCTTGGACTCGGGAGCCACCACGTGTTCCCAGAACAGACACCTGATACACTGGCTTCCATCCCCAAGGTGGAAGATCCAGATTTTAATCAAGCTGAATGAACAGCTCACTCTCAAGAAACTCTCCCAGTCTCTTCCACAATCCCTCTTGTCCCCAGCTCCTTTCGTTAAATGACAATGCTTTAAGGAACCCAGCCCAGCCCATTTCAGTGTGCTGATGTAAACTGGGAACCAGTTCAGCTTCTTACCACTGTCAGCTCTTTGCCAGCTGCTTTACGGAATGCTTTAGTCCATCTCATCTTTCTGGGATTTCGCTTCTTTTTAAAGTTTCTGTGGCATTTTGATTTGCAGAATCTAAATATCTTTTAAAAAGTGGGTGAAAAAGAAGAAAAATCTTAGTTAAATCATGTTATCCGTGCACCATTGCAAGTGTGATATCAAACACTGAGGTTACTCTAACCATACTGCTCATCACAAATTATATTCAGGTTCCAAATGCCAGTAATTTTATAGAAAATACAGCAATTAACAAAAACAATTTCAAGCACTAATACTGTTTTTTTCATTATAAAGTCAATTTCACAGCTGCCAGGGTTAAGCACAAGTACTTACAATTAAGCTGATTATACACAAAATACACCTGAGTTTTGAGAATTATCATCTGCAAAAATAACCATAAAGCCAAACCTGTAGTATGAATAAACAATTTTCTACAGCTGCCAGCACTTCTTAGATACAGTACCATCCTGAGAACAACAAAAAATCCTCACACCTCTCATAATGAATGCAACACACATACAAAAACGTCTGTTTTCTGGGATGCAGCCTTAAGCCCCAAAGATTACCCTGCAGGAGTCCTAAGCACATTAGTTAAGTCCTGGACTGAAATTACTGAAAGCTGTTAAAGCATATGACAAAACCTTTTAATGGACCTTTTTCTTTTTTCCCTATTTTTCTACATATTCTACGTAATACCAGACTGTTCACTTAAAAATGGTCAGAATTACATGTTATTCACGAGGTTTTGAAAACCTTATTTTTTTACAGCCATATCCTCCTTCCCATTTAATAGTCAATTCTAAAAAAAATGTAATAGAAATTCTAAATTCTAAAGTTTATTAGAAATTAAAATTAAATAGAAATTAAAAATTAAATTTAAAAATAATAGAAATTCTAAATAAATTTAACAGAAAATATGAAACTTTTAATTACAGCAATCATCTTCGAATAGCTTTTTTTTTTTTTTTTTTTTTGCGCTCTTCTGCCACGTTTTTTGACCTCAGCTCCGGCACAGCTGCCACGGTGCTTTGCCTTTTCACCGACGCTCTGTTCCCAGGCGATGTTTTTAGGAGCGCCCCTCGTGGCCGCGGTGCGCACACCGCCCGTGTCAGCGCGCTCCCAGCCCGGCCCGGCGCTGTGACTCAGCCTCGATCCCTCCTGAGCCCGGGCCCGGGAGGGAAGCGATGTGCGCAAGCTTCACCAAGAGATGAATTTCGCAGATTGACAGAACAGTCAGAGTTGGAACGGACCCACAGACAAGAGGATTACTGAGTCCAGCTCTTAAGCAAATGGCCCGTACAGGGATCGAAACCACAGCCAAGGTGTTCTCGGCACCGTGCTCTTACCAGCCGCGCTCACCTCGAGCTCCCGCCCGCCCACACACACGGGCGGTGCGCGCGTACCCCGGCAGGGCCGGTGCCGACCGCCAACAGCGGCCCCGGTCCGGGACAGGGGCTCCGGCCGTGAGCGCCCCGCGTGAGGCGCGGCCGGTGTCACCGAGCCCCGCCGGGGCCCGCCCGCACGGGCCGGGCCGGCGCAGGGAGCGGCCGCGATCACCGCGAGGAGGGCGGTGCCGGTCGGGCAGTACCTTGCAGTCGTTGCGCACGAACATGACGCCGTGCCCCGGGTAGATGGGCCCCGAGCAGAAGTAGCACTTCTCGATGCGCATGGCGGCGGCGGCGGCGCGGGCGGAAGCGCGGCCCAGCTGACCGGAGGCGGCGGCGAGGGACGGGCCCGCTCTCGCAGCGCTGCCGCAGCGCCCCCTGCCGGCCCCGCCGCCGGCACACACGGCCCGAGGCCCTGGCTTGTGTTTATAAAGGAAAAGCTATGTACCAAGGGCGAGAAATTAACGAACCGATATGGACATAAGGATACACAGAGCCACCCAAGGAAAAGAAAGGGAGTTAAACGTAGATTTTTAAATCTAGAGTTAATTTACTGTAAAATTCAGACAACAATTTCTGTGCTGTCTTCTTATCTGTAAAATCCAAAATCTAAGCAAAATTTGAAGTCCTAAAACCAATGGTTCTGCATACCATATAGATAGGTACCTGTTACTCCTGTTCCCTCTCCTAGAGTTACCTGTTTATTGTGAAAGGACCTAAATACTAGGCCCTGTACCATCCAAATTGGTTGGAACTGGAGGTCTTCTGTCTATCCTTCAGTTGTAGGATGCTGTCCCAGCTCTGAGTCTAAAATCCTCCTCACCACATAAGTCTTTACCACCACAATTCCTGCCTCTCAATTTAAAAGAAATTAACTCGCAAAGTATCTGGTGAAAAATCCATGTATTGAATTGCATGTGCTTCAAAAGCAGTTTTTGCTTTCTAGAACAACAAAAGAAAAGCAGTGAGCTTGGTGCTGTATTAAGAAATATCAGAGGAAGAAAGAAAACTTGCTTTAGCACAGTGGAGTCACCTTATCAGCACAGAGGCTGTCTCCAGTCTTTCAGCCCCGTCTGCTGCAGGGAGCAGGGCTGGAGCACAGCAGTGGCCAGGCTGTCAATGGCTGGGAGGGCTCTGAGGTGGGACTGAGGATGGCAGCCCGGGCGAGGAGATGCTAAAGACACACACACAATCCAGTTTTATCAGGGAAGCTATGAAGACAAGTTTACAGCTACAGGAAACAAACAAATAGTAAACAAGTTTGCTTAGGTCCCAGGCTGTTCTCTTTTTTCAGTTTGATTACTTTGAGTTTCCTGCCTATGCCATTTTTTTCCCTGTGGGCTGTATTTATTTCACTTTTCCTGGCACAGTATTGCGTGGGTGAAGTGTTTGGTGGCTTCTACAGTTTAAACACTTTGAATTACAGACTGTCACCAATACATCCAGCAGACAGGATGTGAGTGCACAGTGATAATACAAGCATTTACCATTAAATTATCACTCCCAGCTCTTTTTTTCACATCAAAGCACTAATCTCCTCTACAAGCCATTATGCTGTAGATTTGAAGTACTTGTCCCTGACTAAAAGGCAATATAGTTTGAAGGTTGCTGGTGACAGAATCCAGATTAATTATAGAAAACAAATATGTACTTCTACTGCATTAATAGTTATTCACAGACAGAATTGGGTATCCAGGTGAAAAACAGCCTCACTGGAAGAAGAGATTTTGCAGCAAGCCAAGTGGCTCGTTTGTTTTTGACACAGATTACTACAGCAAGAACTGTTTCACCAAACATCTCAAATCACTACCTTAAAGTCACAGCAAAGCTCTGATCTGCAAGTATTTACATACTTGTAGAAGTTTCCTAATTGAAGTAAAAGAACTGTCATACAGTCATGTGAAAGAATAAACAACTGTCAGGCAAATGCACTGGTAGGATCGGTTTCAGAGACATATGATCATGTTGGGAGAAGACACTTCTGGGGGTCATCTAGAGCAAAGCCCTGCTCAAAGCAGAACAAATGAATACCAGGCTCAAGGCCACATCCAGTTTAGTTTTTAGTGTCTTCAAGGACTGACTCCATAATCTTCCTGAGCTCCTGTTCCAATTTCTGACCACTTGTATGGTGGCAATCTTTTCCTACTGTTTAATCTTAATTTTCTAGAGAACATTTCTCTCTTGCCTCTTTCCTATCCCTGTGCCCTCTGAGAGGGGTCTGGCTCCACCCATTAGAGTTCAAGATAGCAGAAAGGTTTCCCTTAGCTTAAAGCTAAGCAAACTCTGTTCTGTCTCTTCCTACCCCTTGTGCTCCAGCCTTCTGATCTTCATAGCATCTGCTGGACCCACTCCATGTGTCAATGCCTTTCTTCTACTGAGGTGTCCCAAAGAGGGCACAGAACTCCAGTCAATCTTACAATTACTGAAGATAAGGAAAGACTGATTTTCCCAACCTGCCACCTTCATTTTACCAGTGCAGCCCTGGATGCAGCTGGCCTTATCTGCCACAGCAGCACACTTTTGTTTTGGTCAGCCTGCTTTGGACCAGGATGCTCATCCCCTTATCTGAAAAATGTTTTTTCCAGCTAGCACTACTACATAGGGTTATTGAGCCCAGGGGGAATACCCGGTGACATTTGACACTTGCCCTTTTTAAAATGAATGAGGTTTAGTTCAGCTCATTCTCTTGCCTGTCAAGGAACCTCTGAATAGCAGCAGCACATTATAACCTACCTGGTAATAGACACTGCTCTTGATGGAAGCAGTTACTCTGAAAAATCAGGCTCCTTACCTTTGTAGAAGCAATGAAGTTGACAAAACATATTGCTTGATTCCCTTTGCTCTGAGCACGCGACACGCTCAGATGAGCAGCATTCTGAACGTCTCCTGAGCACAGAACTGATGTCTCCATTGTCCTCTCTGGGTCTGAGCTACTCCTGGCATCACCCAACATTCACCAGGCTCCTGTCTGACTGGTTTGCTCAGGGGAAGAGAGGGTCACCAAGTACCTCAACCACAGCACAGACCTTGGAGACATCTGAACAAAGAATCCTCACAACGCACAGGGACAGCGCAGGACACGGACTGACACTGAACTGAGACAACAGGAAATGTTACAGTTCAGTTCAACAGTGCTGGCAAAGTTCATGTCAGGAATGTTTAACTATTTTATATTATTATAAGAAATCCTGGGACAATCCATCTTAATGGAAACACTTTCCAAAATTTTGTTCAATTACAGATCCATCTGACACTGAATGGAAACAACTTTTCTTGAAATAACAGTTTCACATCACCTAAGAATTCTTGTTTCTTTAAACCAGTACTAGTCCAGTAAGAGCAATGTAAGTTACTGTCAAGAAACATTTACTGTGATTTCTCATGAGAGTTTAAAAGGGAACAAAAGTTTTGTCACACAATAACTCAAACAGATAAATCTTATGGCACATTTCAAAGGCTGACATCAAAGCAATTTTATGTAGATCCTCTTTGCAAATAGTTACAAATAATAGGCATGACACAAATATGACAGTTTCAGTATTTAATATTTAATATCCAATTTAAACAAGTATTCAAAAGGAAATATTTTTACACTATTTCAGTAGTCACTTAGCTCAATAGCTGGTTGCAGTAATCCTTAAAGTTTTCAGGAACTGGATGGAGCTATAAGCACAAAAACTCCCATTTTAAGTTAATGCATGACAAAGTTCCACTGCAACCCTCTGAAAACCAAAGAGTTACATTAAAAGAAATTCAGACACTGAAGTACATTGAAATGTATTGTGTCTTACACTAGAGTTTCTTACTCTACTGGTCAGAAACATGATGGTAACTTCAAAAGGCACTCTGAATTAAACTACAGTAACTCCGGTCTACAAGCATTTTAGAAGTGGAGTAGAAAAAACCAAAACCCTATACTCATATAAATTTCTTTTACCTCTGTCCTAGCCCCAGAGCAGTCAAATTATATTGCACTTTTAAAATATTCTGTGTAGGCTGTGATAAAAATCTAATATTTACACATTGTGTTTGTTAAAGAACAATGCATTACTGTGTAAAATATTTTAAGACCCTAGTTTAAACACTCTTGTATTAATTAATATAACCAGAAGCTACATCAAATATTTTTCCTTAGAGCCTATTCTAGAAACATTTTTGGTCCTTCCTTCAAAAATTTTGTAATGCTGCAATTCATGTTCGTAACTGATATCAATACTTGCCTGAAATTGCAGTAGTTAGAATATTTAAATAAATAAATACATAATTTCTAAAGAAGCAATAGCTTTGGAGTTCTGTAAACAAGTTGCTCTGGAAGGTCTGTAACAAGACTCAATTTGGCATGTTATGACTTTAATTGGCAATACCTTACAATTATACAACCTCTGCCAGGGTAGAAAACAGTTTGGTAGGCACATCTTATAAATCAGTCTGGGCAAAAACCCAAAAAATACTGATTGTTTCCTAGGTCACATGAATAAATAAAAATAGTTAGAGTAACATGATCCACTGAAACCAAAAATTACATTTATGTGATCCATAGCTGGGGAGAGAGAAAAACAACTATATTCTTTTTAAAATACAATATAAAGGAAATGAACAAGCCATAAATTACTATATGATAACCAAGATGTTCAGGACACGAAGGTTGGCAGAATAAAATGAGCATTATAAATTCATAGAAATACTGATCTACAGGACTAGTATCTTAGCTGCATCTCACCAGAAGACAATAATCATTCGTTTCTCAATCTAAATTTGAAGAAACATTCTCAATCTGTGTTTGGTAAAACAAATTCAGTGCAAAGCACCAACTCTGATGAAATTTTCCTGACATCTAGGCTGCCCTACATTCCTGGTTAAAACATGAGTAGCAATATGAAAGAAACGTAACAGATGCACAGTTATGCCATTTACTTGTAAATTTACATACATGCATGTTCTAGAAATTCAAATGATGTCAGGAGATCTCATAGGCTGCACTGGATGTATTTCATATAGTACAGTTGTAGTTTACATGTTCAATTACATGACATGCCCCAAGCACACCCTGTGCTTCTCTGGAGCTTTTTATTCTGTACTGAAGAGCTTCCCTTTGGTTTTCATCACTGAAAACTGATGGATTAGGAGAGCAAGGATAATCTACTCTCAGACTTTTGTGGAAAACACAGGATGTGCTCTTTAAGATTGTTATTAAATGGTGAAATGATTAAATGTTTCTGTTTAAAACCAAGAAGCAAGTTGCTTATCGTGTTGTTAGGAGACACCAAGAGCTGTCACAATATCTAATCTAAATGCCTACTCTGTGTAGTTAATGGAGACTGCCAAGGGC